GGTGCTCAGCACCTCTGAAAATCATGTCACTTTTATTTAGGTTTGCACTACTGTTGCCTTGTTATATGGATACATTATGGATTTGGATCTCCAGGGTTGTCAAACCAGTAATTTCAGGAGCAGTAAATTCACTAAAAACCATGAGCTTTTTTGTTTTAATGAATACCAATTTTGCATTATATAAACTAAAACATTACAATAGTAAACTGCTAATTGTGCTAGAATATCCTAACTGATGTTAAAACAAAACAAAATAAAAAAACACCCCAAAACTCCTTAGGAAAAATATTTGCTTCTGTCCTAAGTCTCTGTGTCAAATTAATGTTCACCCTGAAACAAATTTGTATACAATTTCTATAAGAGCATGAAAAATGGGGTTTATAATAGAAGTGGTGACACAACCGTAACTGTGGAAGCTAGAGTTCACCACTATAATCAGTCTCAAGTGCTAAAACTTTTTTGATTTTACAAACTTTTATTCAAGGATTAAAAAAAGGCAGACATTTTCAGTTATTCCCCAAACCTGTAGAAATAGACTGTAACATTAAGCAAACTAGAATGTTCAATGTTCCATAATTTATGTGTATGGATGATCATTGAAAACTTTTTCTGGTCCACAAAACTGGGTGCTGGCTTAGTCACTGTAAGCTATAGAGTAATATAACGTGTTAGCTCATGCTTGATGGCAACAGGTTTGTTTTCCATAATTGTGTAATCCAAATTCCTTTTCAAAGAGAAGATTTTTGAAAAGGACTATTAAATGCAATCATTAACGAGCACATAGGGCACTAGACAAGTAAACTTGTCTTAATTATGGTAAGCTTAAAAAAATTGAAAGTACCAATTTACAAAGTACAAATATGATTTTAGGACTAAGAAGCTTCTCCCAGTATACTGCCTAAGGTTTTGTCTTCATGACAATTACAGCCAAGTCAGGATACCCAGCACATGTCCCAGGTTTTAGAATAGTTAGGGAACACAGTTAAGGTCATATTTACACTACACATTGGAACTGTGTTGCAACTGTGTCTTTTGATTTGACTGTAATGTAGATGGCTGTAAAGCTAATTAAACCTCATCTACTGTTCTCAGAGCAAACCGCCAGATGTTGCTTAAGCACAGTTTAAAGGGAGTTTTGTTGAAAACAGGTTATGACATGGTTTTGCCAACAAACAAGGACTGAACATTTTCCGTGTTATAACAAGATTTTAAAAATTGCTTTAGCCCAGGATAAAGATTTTGGAAGTGTTTAAACACAGGTGTTACTAGGCGCTAGAACTATTTCAAATCTCATTGTAAACTATATCCAAGTCCCATAGACACTGTACATTTTACTGTGCAGGGACCCAGATAAAAAACAATAATCCTCTGATATAGTTGACACACTATTCGTTCATTATGGATGGTACTGGATTATGTTTTCACTATCTTTTTGAGCCATGTTACAGCTCTGCTTAGTGCCAGACTTTAGCATGGTTTAGGAACAGACTTAAAACATGATTCAGTCCTGTCTGCTCTGCAAATCCAAACTGTATATTAACTTTGTTAGGACTACTCTGCTGCAAAAGGATCCCCAAACAAAAAACACTTTTTCCAGGGCAGATGGGATATTAGAGAGATAAAATCCATAAACCGCCATATAAAACCACTAAGTCCCATCTTTAATAATATTTTAAATTATGGTAACACCTTTCTAGCAAGAGTTATATTTAAACATGGTCTCTAGGAAGCTGGTAACATGTTTTCTTAATCCGCAGGGCTGTATGCTCCTTTCCACTCTGTTTTGGAGAACAAAGGAATGGCAACAAGAATACAATGGGTCCTACACATGCTGAAGGTGAGAGTGGTACCAAAGTGACATACCTCTGCTCAGAAGCTTGTCTATATTAACAAATTGTGTATTTCTTAAAGCACCTCTCTCCATAGTATCTAGGAGCCAAATACAGGTATTAATATTTGTATTAAGTCACACAGTAGGCAATGCTTTTCACCACTCCTTGGTTCAGCAGCTTTTACTTATTTGGGTGGGTTTTCTCTTTGTGCTACAGCTTGCCATCACAGGCAGAGCTTTGGAAAAGGGTCAGCTCTGTAAGCTGCTGTATTTTGGGGCATATTTTTATCTCCTCTTGGACTCTTCAATATTTCAGAGACTGTGCTGGGACAGGAGAGGCAGGAGCTGGGATTCAGTTCCCATTCAAAACTAGCAGATATTTGAGCCAGTATCTGTCACTGTGTTAGTGCTGCTTGCAACATTACCATATGCTTGCACTTAAAACTCCTTGAAAGGAAGAGCTCTGTACAGGTGCAGTGAGGTCTATAGGAGGAAAAAGGGGCCAGGAGCAGTACCTGGGGCCCAACAAAACCACAGAGGTGGCTAACACCCTGTGGTGAGGCATTAAGATACGCCTATGAATGCCAGCCTCCACAGTGTTTAGAAGCGAAGTCTTCTGCCTGCTTGATAGGACCTCAAAGTTGTGGAGAGAATCCAGCAGAAACTTCAGGAGTTTCATGCCCACTTTCCCACCCCATCCTCTGTGTTTTTCTACTTGTGAGGTGGGAAATATAAAAAAGAATCTTACAGATCTGGAGTAAGGAAGCTCTAAACTCCACTGTGTTCTCCTGCTTTGCTACCAGCTGCAGCTATTCTGCTCATAGTATGCTACCTACTGCTATGCTGTGACTGAATGTGTCTTTGTAGTTCTGCAGTTGGGTGCTATTCACAGCTCCATATCTGTCTGTGTGTGTGACCTGGAGCAAGAAAAACCTTTGAATGCAACAATTCACCGTCAAAAACAATGAGGATTTCTTGTGGCACCTTAGAGACTATCGTGGGCTAGAACCCACTTCATCAGATGCATGGAGTGGAAAATACAGGAGCAGGTATAAATACATGAAAAGATGGGAGTTTACTGTCAGTGTCACTTCTCAGCATAACCATCTGTAAGATGTGGATACTATTTACTTACTTCACTAAGCCTCACGGCACCTTTGTTAGAGCGTTTCAGATAAATAGGACTTTCTCTGCAAAGTGTAATTACATTTTACAATGCCAGGGGTAAGGCACAGACTTGTGACTCCACATACAGTACTTAAGCACAATTATGTATCTAAATTGAGGAACTGTGCTATTTCTCTCTCTTTTAAGGGCTTGATCCTATTACCTTTACTGATGTGAGTAATGCCCACTGACTACTCATGTACTGAATGAGTATTGCAGGACCAGGCCCTTCAATGAGGAGAAAAGTATGTACGAATATGAAAATGTGTTACATAAGTGTAAAACAAACAAACAAACCTCCAATTTTCACCCATTTTTTAGAAATGACTGCTATTAGGCTCTCTAACTCCTGTGTAGGGAATTTTACAGTTTTATGAGCATATTCTGTGCACGTCTCTAACTGACACCAAGAGGAATTCTGTGCCCTATTCTAGGGTTGCTCCTACCCTCCATTTGATTCTCCCCTGCTCTGCTAACTCAAAAATGGATAAATAGATTTTACTCAAACTACCCTCCTAAACAATCTCCCATGGCCTGAAATCAAGCATAGAAAGGTGAATTTAAGAGCTAAAAGTGGTTTAATATAAGGGTTCAAAATCTGGGTTTAGGTAATTTCCTCCTGATTTTCAGTGTTGATTTTTAGGCAAACAAGGGCTCTTTTTAAGAGTAAAAATTTTGTGAATTTATTTTAATGATATATTATTTAAATGCCCAACACGTGTAAAACTCTATAAATATCTGGGGAATTGTTTGTAGGGTCTACATATTCTTAACACCAGTTCATTCATAACTGATTCATCATCTTGGCAGAAGCTGCAGCCTGGCTTTACATTGTGACCCAACCATGCTCCTCAGCCAACCTTAGTGCAGCCACCAGACAGGCCCTTCCTCAGTCACCAATTGTTATGCTTCTGGCATGACATTCCCATCTGTGATACCCCATCGCACATCTGGGGGGCTGCAGGGTTTCTTCTGCTGTTTCTCCTCCAATTACAGTGGTGCCAGCATTGCAGGTAGCCAGGGTGCGTTCCATCTGCTCCCCCTGGAGGATCCGAGCAAATAGTTGGCAACGAGTTGGGAGAACTGGCAGCAGCTGGATTCCCCAGCGCCCTGCCACTGGACAAGTGTGGGTCCTAACACAAGTGTGACAAAGAGACAGGATGGGGGACAGAACGGGGAGCAGGGGCTGAAGCAGGGAAGCGCGCAAGGGCTCAAAGGGGGCCCATTGTGTAATACAGGGAAAGGGGCTGAAGAGGATGAGGGGTGGCATTGGAGGAGGGCTAGACCAGACAGCCTGAAGGGCAGGGAGGAGATGGAATGGCAGGGTGGGGGGCAGAGCAGAGGAAGTGGGGCTGAAACGGGGAGGCGGGGCAGAGAAGCTGGCCTCTAAAAGACTCCCCCGGGCTGCCTCAGCCCCCGCAGACCGAACACACACCCTAGGACTGACTCAGCCCTTTCCTCCCCCTCAAACATTCCCGCTCCCCACCCCCCAAACCAAACCCTTCCCTTCCCTGCGGATTCAGACTCTCCCTGTTCTCCCAGCCCCCGGGTGCCCCTCGCTCCCTGCCCCCTCTCTTTGGGCCTGTCTACACGGGCTGGAAGAACTCGGGAGGAGGAACTGGGTTGCAAAGGGGCGCGGCGGGACTAGCGCAGACAGGGGGGCTCCGAGGGGAAATCAGCGAAAAACCCGTCCCGCGGCTCTGTCCCGACCTTGGCAGAGTTGCAGCAGGCGGGATTGGCAGGAGCCCGCCCCTCCTCTTCCTCCCGCGGCCGGGGTTCGTTCCTCCTCTTTTGCAAAGAAAACAAAACAACAACAACAAAGCCCATGTCAAGTCCCCGACGTCTCCAGGCCCCGCAGTAGCAGCGGCCGCTCCGCATTCCTGGGATTCCAGGGCTGTGACTCCGCGCTCCAGCCCCACGCTCCGCAGCGACTCCGACACGCACTCGCTCTGCAGCCGCCGCCTCCGGCCCCATTCGCTCTCTCGGGACAACAATCCCCTCCCTCTCTCCTTCCCGCACCCCCGCGGGCTGCAGCGGGAGCCCACGGCTCCCTTCCCCGCCTGCAAACTCCCCTGCCGGCCGCAGCGTCCTGCCTCCGCCTCCCCAAACTCCTTCAAACTTTCCCCGCCGCAGCGGGGACAAGATTATTGGGTGGGGGCGGTGGTTTAGTTTCCCTCCTTCTCCTCCGGGAGCCCCCAAATCAGGCACCACCCTGATTTCCTCTCGCCCCGGTTGGGCAGCAATCAGGTCTTCCCAGCAGCGCCGGTTCCTACTTTGTCCCCTCCTCACCAGTTGGGATCTCTCTCCTGGTCAAGACGGAAACCTCCTTCTCCACTGGGAAACCCTCCTGGGGGATTTTGAACGAAGCCAGAGCTACCGAGCCCATTCCCATTGCCCCTGCCCAAGAGGAGAAGCGGCCTCGACATGTAAACGCAGGTAAGCAGCAGCAGCAGAGTTTGCTGAAGTTTGTCCGGCTTGTTTTAATTTAGACCTTGTAGTTGCTTGTACCGCTGATCGCAGCGCCCGAGCGGTAGTGACTTTTTCAAAACAGTCTTGACATAATTTATGGCGTATGTGTGCGTTCCCATCCATTATAATTTATCATCCGTTGTAACACAATTATGGACACATTACTGTATGTGTATATAATGCACATTTATCCCAACTAAACGTGATTATGCTGCTACAAATGAATGCTAATCTGTGAATTATAATAAAACACGGTCACTTTATGTAAATATAATTATAAAAGTCCTAATCCAGAAATATACTGAAGCAAATGCCTAAACAATATATGCTTTATAGAATCAATATAAATATATATTTGTAAACAGATGGGGACAAGCTAAGCTTTCTGCTGAGCTGCTTTCTTATTTACACTGCAGCATGACTCTGTTTAACTTCCAGGATCCTCCTCTCCCCTACCTCATCCCACCGGATGGATTTACCTTGTTCTTTGTTAGTTACAAGTCAAGTCTACACTGGCCATTCCTCTACAGCAAATGCTATAACAGGTTGGGCAGAAATTACAATATTACAAGACTATGTGAGCATCGTGACATCTCTTCTCATTTCTAATGTGCCAAAGTCCATGAATCTTAAAAGATTCAAAAGTAACCTCCCCTATTAAAATCCATTTGGGGGCATACAGTAGGTATTTTGTGTCTGCATGTGTGGGTATTACAGTAAACTCTGTAGTTTTGGTTGCAAAGGCAGTTTCAGGATAAGCACCTCTCTATCTATAGTGGCTTGTAACTTTAACTTTATAGAAACAAATAGTTACTGGTAAATTGGGCAATAACAGTGAATGATCACTCAGAGATTGTGGTATATGGCCGAAATCCAGGGCAGTATTCACAGTTGATTGAATTGTTTTTACTCTGTTTCCGCATAGACATTTGCTATTAAAATGTGTGAAAACTAATACACTTACTGTATGCTGAATTCTTTAGTGCTTGTGACTTCAGTCTATAAAATGGCTCCCTTAAGCAGGAGCTCTTGAAGCCACCTGCCCACCTTGTGCGGGTGGGAGAGATTGAAGAAGACAACTACATTTTTAGGAGACACTTGCTGGAGGTTATCACCGTTGTCTGGTCTCTTCTGACCATTTATTTGAAATTGCCTGTATCAAACATCATAATGACATACAGACTCCAGGGTTTGCTATTGCCCTTTTAGGAAGGCTGTTGCTCATATCTAACGTTGGTCATTGGTTTAAAATATAAGAGGTTAATGTAGTTTTTATATAGGCATAGAATGGGATTTGGGCAGTGATCTGTAAATGACTATGAAGATGGACCTCCCTTGATTTCAGTGGGTCTCTGCACAGACACAGGGCGTTTGCCTGAGCAGAGTTTCTTGCAGGGTTGGGGCCTAAATCCAAACCCAGTGGGCATGATATAGAAGTTTCTGAGCCATGCAAACTGCTGATTTGGGGCCCAGTCCCAAAGCCCTTATTCAAATGATAGTCCTTTAAATCCATGGGATAACTCCTGGGTCCACAAGCCTGCCATCACATCTGTATGGGAAAACCCTTGTGCCCATGTAAAGGTCCGATGGCTTTGTACAATTACAAGAGGTCTGTCTGTGCAGTTCTGACCTCAGGATCAGGGCCCGCATGGATGAAGATGGCAGGATGGAGCCCTTAGTGCTGCTTCGTACATACAATGTGTCTGAAAAAGAGAACATTTAAAATCTGTGACTTTCAAATGTTTGCATCCCAGTTGTTACAGCTATTATAATACAATGGTGTTCCTTGAGGATTAATTAGCCACTGTTGTTAATGGCTCTTCATGTACTTCTCAGCTGGTCATTAAATGCCTGCAGATGCCTTGTGCCTCAGTTGTTGTTGCTTAAATATGGAACAGTCTTCCATGAATTAGGGTTTTTTTTGTTTGTTTGTTTGATTTTACTCAAATTTGCTCAAACTTCTAAAAAATGGCTAAACCAACCATGGAGAAAGTTTCATCCCGAAGAAGGGTCAGAGGTGCTTTTGAAAACTGTCTGATACCAGTGTAGTCAAAGGACCACAGATATTTTTCATCTTATTTGTCCTTACTTTGGGTCTGGAATTGATTACATAGTGCTAAAGCACAAGTGTATTATTTGACGCTGTAGCATGAAAGGCACACTTAAAAAAATTAATAAATCAGGCTCCTTCATGGGTACAACAGAACTGACTTGCCAAGGTTGTAGTTAAGTTGTTGATATAAATAACTCTTGTAAGAATGCAGTTATTTAATATGTCTTAGAAAGTTTTTCATTAGGCTTTCATACTCAGTATTTTAATTATAGGTCCCAGTTCTTCAAAGACTTACCCATGTGCTTAACTTGATGCAATGAAGCCACTGGGACTACTTGTGTGTGTAAATATTAAGTATGTACATAAGTTTTTGCCATAAAAATTAGGATGTAAATAGTATGATTGTGTGTACTTATCAAGCACAATTACCAAAATAGAGATTGCTATAGTATCCCTACACTATAACAATCTTGATTTAATCCTCTTGTGCCTAAAAACATTGATGTCAACAGAAAGTTTCATAAAGGCAGTTTTTTGTTGTTTTTGAAACAAGCTCTAAAGACCATTTCTCCGGTGAGAAAACCATTGACCATCTGTAGACTTTCAGGGAATTTTATAGAAAAGCATGTAGTTTTGTATTAAAATCTGTGGGATATTTAAGATAATTCTTTATTACACAGGTGGTTCAGAGTAATTTCCATAGAACCCTATTGATTTAATCTCCATTAAGTTCTAAAAGACTCTTTTGTAAGATATTTTAATAAATAATTTTTATTTTTATTTTTATAATACTTTCTATTTAGGGATCTCAAAGCATTTTACAAATACTGTTGAGTTAAGTGTCACAGAGCCTCATGAGGTAGGCAAATATTATTGTCCTTAGTTTATAGATTGGGAAACCGAGGTACAGATATTAAGTGAATTGCCCAAGGTTACATCCTAGTGTGTGGCAGAGCCAGGAAGAGACGCCCAAAGTTAATTCTAGAGCACAGGATTGTGCCCTGACCTCTTAGTCCTACGCTCATGTCTAATTTTTTTTCCCCCCCATGGAACAGGGTGGGGCAGCAGAAATGAAGCCAGTTCCAAGGGCCAGCCATAGGTGTCTTGCCATCCTAAATAAAAAGTGTTTTTGCCCCCTTATTCCCACCAAGTAACTGAGCCCAAAAAAGAAAAAGGTTGAAGGAGGTCCCCCCCATATGCTGATTTGGCACCCCTAGAAGTTAGAACCCAGGGTGATCACCCTCTCCTCCCAGATGGATTCCCTCCTGCAGCTATTTCTTTCCCCTCCCAACTAGGCTATTCTCCTGCTTTGCTCCTACTGAACCAACTAATTGAAGCCTGTTAAGGAGACCAATGTGCCAACACTCCTCATCTCTGTACTCCATTAGCTATAGGATGCAGCAGAACCGCAGGGAAGTTTGAGACGAATCCCTCTCACACCCCCCCCCCCCCCCCCCCCCCCCCCAGAACAGCATTGAGTTATGCCACAAGTGATTTTTTACCAATGGTTTCCCAACCCCTTGAAACATCTTGTGGCCTGCCCAGAGACCTCTGGAAAATGAGGAAAGTTCTGGAACTCCAGGAGTGTGGACTCCCAAGTGGATGTTCTGAGGAGGAAGACTCCTGGCCCCAAATGAAGGAAAACAGTGAGAAGAGGGCACTCCAGAAGACAGGTGAGAATAGGTTGGCCAGATAGCAACTGTGAAAAATTGGGTCACTTTTTTTTTTTTTTTTACGGCGGGGATGGGTGGTATAGTTGCCTATTTAAGACAAAGCCCTGATATCGGGACATCTGGTCACCTTAGGTGGGAAGGACTGAAGAGATTGTGGTTGCAGATGTTGTGGAATAGGAGGGAGGAAAGAATTTGGGAGGGATGGTGACCCAGGGAAGGTGAAGGATAATAGCAAATGTGCATCGGTCTGGCTGATTTAACAAAAGTGGATGGAAGAGCTGGGAGAGAGTGAGTGTGGGGTGATTCAGGTGAGGGAAAGCCCAGGGAAAGAGTAAAGAGTGAGTGTAGAGACTACCCAGAAGCAGTCCTTCACACGCTTTGAGCCAGATTGTGAGTGTGTTTTCCCAGCCTGAGCCTGCAGCTGTTTTATGAGGTGGGCAGGCTGAAAGGAGGGCACTTAGGGCTGGTGGTTGGCATGTGCACAGAGGGGAGGAAGGGTGGGTTTGGTTCTGGGAAACTAAATACTGGGAGATAGGGTTGTGGGCGGGAGTGTAGCAAGTTTGTATTTCTGAGGTGTTGCATACCTATTGTTTGGTTATTTTCTGTCTGGCTATTGATAGTCTTTTTTTTTTTTTTTAGATTGTTCTTTGGGGCAAGGATTATCTTCTCTCTCTCTCTCTCTGTTTTTTTTAAAACAATTGCCTAGTGCAATGGGGACCACTTCAGATTTAATAATAATTACTAACACTAATGGTGGGAAAAACACAGAAAACAAGAACAAAAATAATAAAACCACAAGAAGAAATCATTAAAGCATATGGAAGTTTTTCAAATCAAAAGATCTGTAATCAAAAAATGGCCTCTTCACAGACAATATTATTCATGGACTTTTTGTTTGTTTTACAATTTTTTTTATCAAAGTTGTTAAGGAAATTTATATAATTTTTTCCTTTATTGAAAATTGTATTTAACTACACTAGAAGGTCTTCAAATGCGTTCACCTCTTTTTTGTATGGTTTCTGTTCTATTTCCACCTCTTTTTAAAAAAAAAAAAATCTCTTGATTATGTTTGTTATAATTTATTATAAATTGAGTGTTTGATAAGCAAAAAGAATTGTAAAGTTTTGTGGTGAAAACAAATTCTGTGAAATTTAAAAAGATCAAAAATCGCTCCATTTCAAACACTTTGAAATGAAAAAAACCCCTGAAATTTAAACTTTTTTGTGAAAAGTTTTCAATTG